GCGGTGGGAGACCTTGACCTCTGAACGGACGGCCGGGGACATCTGGTGCTGGCCTTGTTTATTTATTTATTTACCTCATAACAAAAGACAGGTGGTCACACTTGAAAAGGAGCGATGCAGCCTCACACACACACACACACACACTCATGCACATAAAACAGAAAAAGAGCAATGCTCTGTCAGAGACGAGACCTTTGTGTCTTATATAATTAACATCAAAACATTATATCCTCAATATCACCTTTTTAGCACTGTGGTCACACAGTGATGCTAGGAGATGGTAATACTGTGATACTTTGATAAATATCATGATATGTTGTTCATGCAGCATCACATTTTCAAGGTATTTTACCATAGTACTACTAACATGGTACAAAAATCATGATAATACCATATCCTCAAAACAAACCAGCAACACTCTGGCAACTGCTTTGAACAGCTTGAAAACAGATACTTCTATCAACAAGCTTACAACTCGTTAGCAACCACCTAGCAACTCCCTAACAACTAGGGTGTCACGGTAAACAAACATGACGGTTTGGTACGTACCTCGGTTTTGAAGTCACGGTTTGGTACGTTTTCAGTACAGCAGGGGAAGACAACTAAACATACAATTGCTTCTTTTTTCTTTCAAGGACATTTTTTTGCATTAACTTCTAAATCTAATTCTCCAATTAGAACTCCAATTCGCTGTTAAAATAGCAGCTGCCATCATTTGTTTTCATGACAGATCTTCAAATCGCGAATAATTTGATTTAGATCAGAACTTCGGAGCGGGTTCTTCGCAAACTCAGTGGCGGTCCCATCTCTGATTGAGCAATCTGTCACGCCACATTAACGAGCATTTATTGTTTGAAATTCATTATAAAATGGACAGAATATGAAAGATGAGATTTCGTTCCTAATCGAAAGTAACAAAACACAAAGTTTATTGTGATTATTGGTGGTTAATGTGGTTAAAAGGGGTATTCGTCATGTACACATGCGTACCGAACCGAAAGACACCTAACACTCTCGGTAAGATACGTGTACCGTTACGCCCTCTACTAACAACCACAGAAAACCATATCAAACACCCCTGCAACACCCTAGCAACCATCAAAAACAGCTAGAAAATGAATTCTTGTGTGAACAGGCTAAAATGCTCGTGTCAAATGAGTAACCACCTAGCAACGCCTTAGAAACCACTCGAAAACCCTAGCAACCACTCAGAACATCTTGAAATTGCATACTTGTTCCAACAAGCTATAAATGCTCACAATACTTTAGCAACACCCTGGCAACCACTCAGAAAGCCCTAGCAACATGCTAGCAACCAATCAGAACAGCTACAAAATGCATTCTTTTATCAACAGCTACTCTGAAAGCCCTAGCAACACCCTAGCAACCACTCAGAACAGCTACAAAATGCATTCTTTTATCAACAGCTACTCTGAAAGCCCTAGCAACACCCTAGCAACCACTCAGAACAGCTACAAAATGCATTCTTTTATCAACAGCTACTCTGAAAGCCCTAGCAACACCCTAGCAACCACTCAGAACAGCTACAAAATGCATTCTTTTATCAACAGCTACTCTGAAAGCCCTAGCAACACCCTAGCAACCACTCAGAACAGCTACAAAATGCATTCTTTTATCAACAGCTACTCTGAAAGCCCTAGCAACACCCTAGCAACCACTCAGAACAGCTACAAAATGCATTCTTTTATCAACAGCTACTCTGAAAGCCCTAGCAACACCCTAGCAACCACTCAGAACAGCTACAAAATGCATTCTTTTATCAACAGCTACTCTGAAAGCCCTAGCAACACCCTAGCAACCACTCAGAACAGCTACAAAATGCATTCTTTTATCAACAGCTACTCTGAAAGCCCTAGCAACACCCTAGCAACCACTCAGAACAGCTACAAAATGCATTCTTTTATCAACAGCTACTCTGAAAGCCCTAGCAACACCCTAGCAACCACTCAGAACAGCTACAAAATGCATTCTTTTATCAACAGCTACTCTGAAAGCCCTAGCAACACCCTAGCAACCACTCAGAACAGCTACAAAATGCATTCTTTTATCAACAGCTACTCTGAAAGCCCTAGCAACACCCTAGCAACCACTCAGAACAGCTACAAAATGCATTCTTTTATCAACAGCTACTCTGAAAGCCCTAGCAACACCCTAGCAACCACTCAGAACAGCTACAAAATGCATTCTTTTGTCTTTCCACAGTTGAAACACTGACTGAGCGATTACACAATATGATACTTGTCAACAACCACCTAGAACACCCTGGCAACCACTCAAAAACCCTAGCAACCAGCTACAAAATGCCTTCTTTTGTCAACAACCACATAGAACATCATTGAATCGTGAAATTATGCATAGCAAACTGACTATGTTTGAAAAACTCATGGAAATCAAAAGTTGACTATAAGAAGGGGGATTTCAGTAGCATGTCCTTGTCCCATATGAAGCGTGAGCTGCTGGAGGAGCAGAGTCCAGTGCACAGCTGTCACTCTTTCACTACACGCACACGTATTTATAGCAGCCGCATCACCGCAGCCGGCTGTGTGTCTGCGCACAGCTGCTCTGTACAAATGGGGGGTGATGCAGAGCCACACGTCTGGACTTAAGTGCGTCCAGGAGTCAGCGGGGCCCAGCAGGCCTTCGGGGGTCCCTGGCATGTGGCTCTGGGAAAAAGGAGCCGCCTCGGAAGTCACGGCTGTGACCTTTTACAGTAAAACACTTGTGATGAAAGTCTGGACAGCTGCAGAGGAGCACACACAAAAGAACAGGAGGAGTGTCAGGAACATCTAATTGCTTTTCCATCTCCACAGCATGCATGAAGACTCCTGCCCTCAATATCATGATCTATATTAAAAGATCACGTCATCATTTACTCACCTTCATACATCTGTGGAGATGCTGAAGTCAGTGTCGATCTTCCACACAATTACGAAATGAAAGTTTTCAAGCTTCAAAAAGGATGTAAAAGTTTCATAACAGTAGTTCATACAACTAGTCTGCTACATTCAACGTCTTCTAAAGTCATATGATGCTTTCTGTGGGGAACAGACCCAAATTTGCATCATTATTTAGAATTACAGGCAGGTGTGTTTGATTTGGGTTGCAGCCAAACAATGTCCCTGATTTAAGAGCTGCGAAATGCAATATTAAAATATTCATGAAAATAACACATATTAGAGGAAACATTTTGTCATATAACCCAAAAACAAACATTCATGTGCAGTAAAGAGCGTCTGCTCTTTATTTAACCTACTGTTAGTATTTCTTTAAAGCAAATTGTAATGGACAAATAATCCTTAAAACAATTCAATGCCATTAAGGTTTGGGGTCAGTAAGATTGTTTTTTTTTCAAGGATGCACTGAACTGATCAAAAGTGACAGTAAAGACATTTATAACGTTAGAAAATATTTCTATTTAAAAAAAACGCTGTTCTTTTGAACTTTGTTCATCTGTGAATCCTGAAAAAATTAAATGCATCATGGTTTCCACAAAAATATTGTGCAGCACAACTGTTTTCAACATTGCTAATAATCAGAAATGTTTCTCGAGCAGCAGAGCAGCATATTATACTGATTTCTGAAGATCATGTGACACTGAAGACTGGAGGAATGATGCTGAAAATACAGCTGCACATCACAGAAATAAACTACATTTTAACATTTACATACAGTATAAAATGGCTATTTTAAATATTTCAAATTTTTTTTTTACTGTATTTGATCAATTTAAATAAGCCTTGCTGAGCAGAAGAGATTTTTCAGTAACAATTAACCCCTAATATGAAAGACTACGTTACACTATGGTTCTTTAATGCATGAAACAGCACAGTTGCTCCAAGCCAGAAGTAGTTGTGCATGACGGTTCAGTGTCTGATTGAGCTTAAAGTTCTCAATTTACACAGAAGTCTGACTTCAGTGTCCCGAAGTGTTACAGGAGCATCAGACCTCCGGTTCCAGTATCATTTAAAGTCTAATTAATTGTTGCATTGACTTTAAACAACTGTTAGACTTCCACGTCATTCTAAAAGAAAAAGCACCATCATACAAACAAGTAGATAGAATAGAAAAAGCTAGTGTTCGAGAACTTGGTTTATGGTTTTAATGATTCAAGTTTTGCTAGGAGACAGTGAATGTAATCCTGAGAGAGCCAGCTGTTCAGTGAGAAACTAATGAAGTATTATATTCAGGTGCTGCCCTCTAGTGACAAACCTGATCTCACCACTGTTAAAACATCCAACGAGCTCTAATGTATATATGCATGTATATATATATATATATATATATATTTTTTTTTTTTTTAAATTTAATGCCATGTCAGGATCTTAGGCTATTTTCATGGCAAAAACGATAAAAAAAAAACACAAGTATAACAAATACAATAAAAACCAGCAAACAGACAAGTTAATTACATCAGCATGATACAAATTCTAAAACTTTTTCTGGCAAAATTATACTAAACTCTTCGAGTTCACTTCATAAAATAGTTTTCTACATGCATTAAAAAGCGGGGCATTCCAATAAAATGTTTGACAGAAAGGGGAATCTTGCAGAACATGCATCGAGTAGGGTCTTTCCTTTTAAGCAAAAATGCATGAGTCAGTCATGTATGGCCCATGCAACATCTAGTAAATACCACTTGATCAAATCTAGTTTTAGAAGAGATTAAAAATCTGTTTGAAATTTACGGATGGATTTCATGTTATTCATAATTTGTACATGTATCCCACTGATTTTATATATATATATATATATATATAACAATTAATAATAGGTTTGATCTCAGAGAGGAATTATATATATATATATAGTGTGTGTGTGTGTATATCGATATATCTATCTAGACACACATACATATATAATTCCTCTCTGAGATCAGACCTATTATTAATTATATATTAAATAAGGGGCAAGAAGAGTGGGATACATGTACAAATTACATTAAATCCATCCAGAAATAAATAAATCTCTCACACACACACAAAGTATTAATGTCAAGTATTTATTTCAATAAATCATAGGAGTTTGTACATAAAAGGAGGGAAAGAGCAAGAAACAAGGCAAGCATATATAAAATAATCTCATTTACATTTAATTGGTAATGCATTAATCCTGTCTGGCGTAACGGTCATCAGTCATCTGATCTGATCAGTGCCATCAGGATGAACAGCCACAGCAGAGGACGCGCTCATAACGCTCACTGTAACTGAGCACAGAACAGACAGACGAGGGTTCAGAAGAAAAACAGAAACTACAGATCTAATACAGTAAAGTTATGCATCGTGCATGTTTGTTGGTATAGCATGCAAATCCAAAACTAAACATCCCAAACGTGCATATGAGCTTCGCTTTAAAGGAATACTTCAAAATGTGCTGACAATGTGCTCACCCTCAGATCATCCAAGATTAGGATGGGTTTTGTTTGTAGAAATGTAGCATTGCATCAGTGTCTCAGCAATGGATGCTCTGCAGTGAATGGGTGCCGTCAGAATGAGAGTCCAAACAGCTGATAAAAACATCACAATAATCCACAGCACTCCAGTCCATCAGTTAACATCTGGAGAAGACAAAAGCTGAGACAAATCTAGCATTAAGACGTTTTTAACTCCAATACATTGAGTCCATAATCCATAATAACGCTTCCTCCAGTGAAAAAGTGTTCTGGTGTGAATCAGGAGAGAAATCTGCACAGATCAAGCAGCGTATAAACAGCTCTAAACTAATATGTGGCTGGATTTTGATGCACTTTTTCACTGGAGGAAGCGTTATTATGGATTATGGACTCAATGTATTTGAGTTAAAAACGTCTTAATG